TTGCTCTGCATTAGGTCCAGCACTTGTTTATACTCCTGTACAAAGGTACCAACACAGACTCTCATGTACACTGTCATTGGCAGAGTCATGTTTACCTCGGTACCCAGATTGGCAAAAATGTTGCATCCTTCTGAATTGAGGACACATAGTGTTTGTGAAAAATGATGGCGCTACAGTGGAAGAATAGGCATTAACAGAATGCAGTGTTATTGTATTCAAAGTGCCAGGATCTCCTCTCTCCTTTTCAACAGCTACTAAAATTTTACCTTTGACGCATAATATTTCCCCTACACCATTAAAGAGAAACATCATTTTTTGCTCAGGGTTTCATTTGAATACTCTGATAATTGGGGGAACCAATAGGTGATGGTAATTTGGGCAACTGAGGACTGTTTTTACTGTGGGTATTGTTGGTTTCAGTTCAGGGTATTGTGTTTGTGTAGTGTTTTTCCCAACAGGGGCAGAGTCGTTATGTAATGTCTGAGGACAACCAATCAGGCCTAAACCACATGCATACATACATAGCCACATTACATATGTACCTCCATAACTGAGCCTTCAGAACTGTACAGAGATGCTAGAACAGATTTCTGCACGACAGTAAAAGGGCAATAGAGCCGTCCAGTAAATGGGTTAGCAATATCTTACAGAGGATATCTGGAAGGAGTTATTGGTTCCTCTGTGGTCAATGTCGTGGCAGAGGCAGGAGAAGAAGAGAGCCAGGACCTCCAGGTCTGTCAGGAAGGAGAGGTTGTCACAGCGCTGGTGGAGCACGTAGCAAAAGTGGGCCACAGAGAGGGCGTGGTACCAATTATGATAGGGTGGGTCCCGGTAACTACGTTTAACCATCAGAATGAACCTGTTGAGCAACGGTGGATATTGCTGGCATGTGTAGAGGAGACAAGAAACTTACTTGGCAAGTGTGCTTGGTTGTAGTTTCCACCGTCGAGTTAGGCCCATAGCAGAACACATGCTAATCACTGCCTGTGGGTATTACAAAATATCTCAATACCTAAGGTCAGTATTTTACACTGCAATTGCGTATTTTCATGTTTTCAAGAGACTAAAAACCACTAGATTTGCGTGTTTCAAGCACAGGATGTTTACATAAAAACAACAAATAACATTTAAATGACCGCACACACACATGATAAAACAATTTATGTAACACCTCTGCAGTTCTTGCATCAGGGATGGATCGGGGTGTGTAGGTAAAGGTTGCAATGGCTTCGCTGAACTCAGTACATTCCACAATGTCTTTGGTGGCCAATTTTTCAACCTCCTCTGTCGACACCTATGTGTAATGGCAATGTCATCATTATGCATATACGTATTACTATAGGCCGTCGCCATTTACACCTACCCTATAGCTTAAGTCTGACCTGCATGTGGTACAACATGAGCTCAGTGGAGAGCTTGCTGTTGGTCTGTGTTATCTCAAGTTTGCGGTATAGTGTAGCCTGTGACATAATAACACATGGTATATGTGGTTATGTAAGCGTGTAAGTGCTGGTAATGCCAGCTGACATACTACATACGTACATGGTAAAGACTGATTCCGCAGTATACTGAGAAGGTTGCTGCCAATTCCTGGTCATATTTGGTGAAAAAGTTCCCTTTGGGTTGAAAAACAACATGTACAGTACGTGAATGAGAATCCAACCTACGTACCTCCAACTTTGTTGCACAACTCAGCAACTCCTACCACATCTTAGGACAATAAGATAGGAATAATTATGAGATATTAATGTCAATTATTTATGCATTACCTCCAGTGTTGTTTTTGATCGGGAAGCAGAGAATGTTCCTGTAGTGATAAAGCAGCACAGCGTTTAAGTCTTGGCAAAGCACAGTGTCAACAAAGAGATTCCAAAAGCATTATCTCACAGTTTAAGCATCCCAATGTCCGTCACTGTGTGAGGCAAAACTTTCGTTTGTTTTTTTAATAGCGAAACTTTGGAAGAGTTTGGTTGCAAGTAGGATAACCAGTTCACAAAGTGCCCGCTGCTGCCAAAGCTCTGGTTGTGGGGTACACAAAAGCCCTGGTTGTGGGTTACACAGTCACATGGAAGACTTTCCTAATTTCACAGTGTTTAAGTCTTGGCAAAGCACAGTGTCAACAAAGAGATTCCAAAAGCACCATCTCACAGTTTCAGCATCCCAATGTCCGCCACTGTGTGAGGCAAAACATTTGCTGTTTTGAACAGCGCATAAACAGGGGGTAGATAGCTTTGGTTGCAAGAAGTGTAGAATATAGGATATAGGATATAGTAACCAGTTCACCAAGTGCCCGTCCGTATATACCAAAGCTCTGGTTGTGGGTTACACAGTCACATAGAAGACTTTCCTATTTTCACACAGGATGTTATTAGCGTGTGTCTCCTTGTGCCTATACTTATTATCAAGAGGAAACTCCCAGAGTAACGAGAGGAAATTGTGTGTGGACGAGAAGTCTGATTCATACGTGGATCAAGCTGTAGGTATTCTTCAGCTATGCCTATTATGACAAGTGGAAAAATCATTTCTTCAAAATGAAAGGGGGATATAGGGATGGCTTGAAGCACCAAAAAGGAAGAAACAAGGGGTCATTACACAGCAAAGATGCACAAAGCTACATGACACCATCCCTATATCTTTGTCTCATATTAAACTTTACTTCAAGGTAAACTGTTGCAGAGTGGAAATGACGGAGACGGCAAGCGCGGCTCTTTCCCAATTAGGGAGGAAAATGTCAGCAGGGCGAGATTGGTTGTGAACAATAACACAAAGATATAGGGATGGTGTCATGTAGCTTTGTGCATCTTTGCTGTGTAATGACCCCTTGTTTCTTCCTTTTTGGTGCTTCAAGCCATCCCTATATCCCCCTTTCATTTTGAAGAAATGATTTTTCCACTTGTTTCCACTATTTTTCACGCCTTATGACAACACTGCATTTTCAGTCACTCTGATGTTCATGGGTGTTGTAGAGATAACTGTTGAAAGCAGAAGCTAATGGGCTGCTCCTACCTGAAGCAGGGTGTATGTGTAGTGTCTCCAACAAGGATGCAATTAGATTGTGGCACATATGGTGGGGTGGTTTCATAGGCAGGCTTCAGTAATCAGACTACAATGATAGCTATAACCTGGGGGACAAAGAATGAAGGCGCCTGGCAAGGCACGCGTAACACGGCGCAGATTGCCAAGTTGCTCCTCGTGCAAATCAACAGCAAAACGCAAGCTAGCCACTTACAAATGTGCACACTGACTTACAGAAGGCACCGAAGGATGAGAGTAGTTTTCTCTGAAGGCATCCAGTCCTGGCTTAGTCTCGTTCGTGGACCAGGTTTACGAGACAAAATGCGCGCGCGCCGCATTGGAAACGCCCTCCTCGGCGCATGCGGCTCACTGATGCTGAGTTAGCAACAAATGGCGTTGTTCAGTGACTACCGAGGAAGAGCTCAACGATCTACCGTAGTGACTTGCGGCAAGAAAGAAACGATCGCTTGATATGCATGCACACCTCCGGCAAATTCGGAGACGTTCTGTGAAAAAATCAACGCTTCAAGTGCTTCCGGTAAGGAGCTAGCGGGTCTGAAGAAGAAGAAGAAGAAGATGAAGAATATGATGATGACACGAAAATCGTGAAATCGCGTATGAGCGAATTCTCGCGTGGACGACTGAAGGTGCGTATGAGGTCTTGGGGGACATGTATAGGTAGATATGGGCCCGTAGACTATTGCTAGTATGTTTTGAAGGCCTAGGGAGTGATTCTCACCGAGATTTTAGTCGTTTTGTACGCGGATCACGTGAGATTTCACCCGTGTCGTCCCTATATAGAGAGTCTACCGACTCTCTGATATATATCTGGCAGGAAGGCACATTAGAGGCTGTAAAACAAATAATAGATGTCTACAAGCAACAACAACAATAGTCGCGTGTGCAACCCATTATGGCACACTGCTCGAGGTTCAATTACGTTAAGACACGTCCTCCATTCCTGCATTTGGAACAGAATCCACTCTTGAGGGGTAAAATAATATTAGTTCCCTCGAACTGTCTCTAGTTATGATGATGTGCTGTTGGAAAGCTATGGCTATTTCTGGTTTCTTATCATAAGGCTACATATTATGTGTAAGTTTGTCGTTGGACTGAAACAATCATTCTCTCCTGAGCATGCGCAGTACACATGAGGTAATGCACAAATGAGGGTGTGGCATAACAGCGACAGTGCCTAAGTTACACGGTAGGGACGTATGATAGGCTACATTACTACATAAGTATAGAGGCACGTGAAAGGCTTTTACATGCAAGTGTATCAGTGGACAGAACAAAACTCAGGGTTCAAATAGTGTTCTTAATTGGCCTGCTGTATTATTATAACTGCAACAGTCACCTTGTGTGGAATCCAGTACTCGTGTCAATTTCCTTGGGTGCTTGTATGCATCTTTGATGTTGACTATCTTTCCTAACAAGAAGTAGAGGGTCACGTTGACTAGTAAACGCTTGAAAATTCTAAAAACCAATGGTTTAATGATTTTATTACTGTTCCAATGCATGTCGGGCTCTTCATTTATGCCTTCAAGGGTGTCGAGGTCCATGGACGAGATCAATCCATCTCCCCAAAGAATCCAGTAACTGTCAGACGGAGAGGGAATAATGCGCAAAGTCTAATTGTTCTGTGAAGGTGAGTGTAATGCACAAATATGGCTATAGGGGAGTGGACCAAAAAGTAACAGATTGCGATCAATCGTGGCTGCCACGAGACTCAGGAGATGCAAATAGTTATAGCTACTTGGTTTGATAATGCAGCACCCAGGGTATAAGAACGACAAAAATGACTGTAAAGTTGGTCGTAGCTAACTTAGCTACTGCATAAAATTCTCTGGTCCGCGAATTCGCGGTCCTCTGCGCTGTAAACAAGATAGCTACAGCTAAAGAGACTAGCGCGATGGAGCACAACCTGGAGTCTGCCGTTTAACGATAAAGAATGCTCTCTTCTCTCTGTTCATTCCGGACACCGTCACTCTCAATTCTCCTTCTCTTACCATCTGAACAACACCCAACTGCTAAGGAAAACTGCTCATACCGATCTAGGTGTTATGTTGACGCCTGACCTCAAATGGAGAGACCATAATGTGTCTTATAAAGTACTTGGCTTACTGAGAAGAGTCTTCTCGTCCGTTTACTGCCCCTGGGCTAACAAAGTTCTGTATGTATCCCTCATTCGATCAAAACTACTGTACTGCTCACCCATCTGGCGTCCTCACCTTCTGACTGATATTAAAGCACTGGAAAATGTACAGAGACGGGCCACCAAATTTATTCAACAGCTATGATTCTAAATAACGCCTTCGATTGCTTGACCTTCAACTGCAGCCAATAATGATGATCTTCAAAATGACATACTATTCTTTATTAAGTCCTTGAGGGAGCCATCTGATCATTTCGATATTACCAGATTGATTTGTTACGTTTGTTCAGGCCAAACTCGTCCAGCCTCCTATATTAAATTGAAACACGGTTTAGTCGCCACCAATAACTCTATATACTCGAAACTTCTACTTTAATCACCTCCCTCGCCTTTGGAACTCTCTCCCTCCTCTTGACATGAGTCAATCAATATAACAGCTATTAAAAGTAAACTCTACAAACATTCAAACATTTTTGCACCCATTTCACTACGAACTTCGATCCCAACAATGTGTGCTCTTTCCACTACCTCTGTCCTTGTGCTAAATGCAGCTCACCCCCAGTCTCCTCCAATTTTCACTCTTCTCTCTTCTAAGTGATTAAAACTATAATTATATTGCGTTTATTAGGCTGCAGGTTTATATCACCATCACACCTTCAGCAACGTTCCGCATTTCATTTGCCCTGTCTGCTACTGTCACCTCACTAGTGCTGTAAAATCATAATAATAATAATACTAATTCACCTATGGCACATGGTTGTCAGAGCCCTGCCATAACTGAAAAATTGTCCCTGTTTATAACTACGCTTCCGCTCATCAATATACAATTCTACCTGAAATTTCGTTCTTTTTATATATAGACTCGCAGGAATTTTTATTGTGCAGGGTTGGTCTTCACCATTCAGTAGATGCGACTAATAGCTAAGACACATCTGCCCACTCAGCGTCAGCAATGACTTTTACACGCGTCAAGGTTCCGCTGCTATAATAATTATAGGCCTTCCCACATCTGAGCGCTACATTCTACAACTGAGCGGAACTCGCTTCTAGATACTGGCCATATCTACTGGAGAGTGTATTGCAGCCTGTTTCCAGATTGTGCAATTATGCAAGTTGGTAGAACTGTCTAGCTAGAGCCAGCTATGTAAGTAGAGCTTGCAATTTCTATTATTCTAAAACTCATTGCCCTCCTTCTTCTCTAAACATCGCAAGTTTATTGTGCCTCGTTGTCTTTGCTTCTGTAGAAACCTCTACACGTATGAAAAATCACGAGGACCACTCAAAGAAGGTAGAAAGATAATTATTATGCACAAACAGTAACACATAATCAAAACTGCGAAAACAAAATATACATCCTCAGCTTAAACAGCTTGGAAAAATAATCTTCACAAGCTTAGAAATAATATATTATTAATCCTCAACGGTTTATATAATAAAAAATACTCCATCAGCGTCTCTGGCTGATAATATTATAGCAAGAAGCACCGATACAGACAGTTTACATGCTGTCATGAGAACCGGCAATGGGATTTAAGATCTTTGCATTTACAACCACGAATAATGTAGTGAATTACATGTGGCAAAATTGAAGTTCAATTTACTATTATACATCTGTAAATTACGTACAGTGTGCAATCCTTGAATACTGCAGACCATAAGTTATTCAGGTAATCTTCAAAAGCGGTGATTTTTCGTTAATTAGATACAGCTTGTCAATATTCGATGATAACGAGTGTATATCTTTCCCACGAAGCTCCCATGACGAATTAACAGCTAAGCACATAATTGCTATTGCTGTGATGTCCACTTTTGTATACTTTGCTTCTTGTAAGGCTGCATGGTTGCTAGCAGCACTATCATCCCAAGTAGTGCAAGCGTCAAAACAAACGTGCTGAAAAAATTTTTGCACACTATGAACCCAACATGCATTGCTAGCCGTAGAAAAAGATAAAGGACAAAAAACCAGCGACAGTCTCTTGTTCCATTTGTACCATCTTTAAAACAACCTTGGAAAGAGTTCATGAAAAAGTGTAAAGCAGTGCTGTTACAGTGGAATCTGTTGAGAAGTCTCTGGAAGCAGTGACAGACACAGAAGGATGATGGGGAGAATACTAAATGCCAGAAGAACTGCAATCACCATTATTGCATAAGGAAGATGAGTTTTTCCAAAGAATTTTACGGTTCCATCATAGTACAGTGCCACACCTACTTCTGCTCTACTGTTCCACAGAACGGTAGGTGTTAGTAGGTCCAGGGAAACACTCGATATCTTGACATATGAGAGGAGAAGAAAGGTAGCAAAGGCATCAACAAGCGAGCTCTGAATGTCCCACTGCCTTCTACAGCGAGCAAAGCAATAGACGAATGGTTTGCAGAGCCACAGTACGACTCTAACACCGTTGTAGTGGAGCCTGACTAGGGTGTAGGTGAGGACGATGAGGAGGAGAGGAGAGAGGGCTGTGAGGTAGTCCAGTGAAAGAATCTGTAGCATTGTAGCTCTTGGATGGAGACAGTACGGCATGTATATGAGTTTAAAGGCATCGAGGTTCCATATTGCAATAAATGATATAAAATATAGAACTAGCGCAGCATTTTCGTCTACCTCTGTTTTATGACTGTGCACTATTGCACGAAGTAGCGCTGGTAATGTTCACCTATAGATCAAGAGTTGTGGTACACGTGTATGTGTTGCTGAGCAGTCTTCTACACAGAAAAATGTGATGATTTGCCATGCAGTCATAGAGTAGAAAATACCAATACTACTATTACGAATGGTATTTAAGACAGGTACAAAGAGAGCAACAGTAGTGTGAAGCCATGCAGCTATTAGCAACATTTCTTCTTGGATTTATCTTATTTCTTCGTGGCTTTATCAAGATCCACCAGCTCCCTCTCCTCTGGAGGTATATACCATCAGAAAAGGATACTGCAAATTCTTGCTCCACCCAATCCTCCTTTTACGGTTTACTGGTAGCAGGTAACGTGTTTCATCTTTTTGGGTGGTGTAGCTCAGTCCAAAGGTGTTGAGATCAGTTGGACTGTCGTGTCTTGTGAACTCAGTGTGAAGAATGTTTTCAACCTGTGGTTGGAGGAACTAATGAGGGGAGTTGAACACTAAGAGAATGTTACTCAATGATACTCATACCCCGTCCTCAGCCGAAAACTTGGGATATTGGTCAGGGACTCCACGTTGGTTCTCAATGATTGTGAGATACCACCTCACTTTGCCCGGTGGAGGGTAGCCAACTATCTTCACCTTATTGCCCCCCACAGCCTCAATGTGAAAGAGCTCTGTGGAATTACATCATCAATAATGATTATCAAAAATAGAGTGAGGGGTGTTTAATACATGCACAATTATAATACCTTGGTCAACTACTTAATTAGGGAAAATGATAATAGGAACATGATCAGTAGTGGTGTCAGGCACATGGTGTATACCGTAGGTATAAGGAACCTAACAGTAGCACCCATTGGTATCAGGCCCATGTTATTATCCCCAAAGACTACCCACATGTGAAAATTGAGAAAATCGCCCTGCGTGTGGGCTTATAGAATAATGGAACAGCAAGTGCTTTCAGCCGAAATGCTGCCAGCCACCTGAGAGAACCTCCTCACCAGGAACCTAACTGCACCCATTACTGCCTATAGCCGAGGGTCAAACAAAACCTACCAGAGACCTAGACTGTATTAAGTAAAGCCCTGATTGCTCTGAGTAACACTGTGCTGCTCAACTATATCTTCCACTCTAGCTGCAAGCAGATTTAGTTACATGCTCTTTCGCCCAACTTCTGGGGCTCTTGCACTCCTAAATCTAAACGTATTATTGCGACATTTCTAACATAAGACAGTAAAAGGTGTGGATGGGGGATATCCTCTCCGTGAGGCAGTTAGCTAGGTATTTAGAGAATGTTATTGCACTCATGCATGATAGCTAACACCACACACCAAAGTGTCTCATGCTTATAATTGGGTCAGTAAGCAAAGTAGTACAATACTGTCAGGAATGCAAATAAAGTTCACACAGACCGGAAACATGATGGTACTCGTAAGGGCAGTACTGACATGGGGGTGCTGCCCCGTCACTTGTGTCCAATAACCATACTTTCCAATATGCTATGTTTGCTGGGCGTAATGGGCATAGGTCACAGCTGGAAAGCTGACTGTAGACACAATAGCTACTAGGCTCCTAACAATGCCATGCTGGAATATTGAATAACAGCCATGGTAGCTACTATGAACTAAAAACAGAGTTCAAGATTCAAATGCTGTTAGCCACATGCACTATACTCTTTTGCCCTGTTATGTGGGGCTCAATGCTAAACATTGTATATAGCTAGCTGTGATGTGCAAATTCAAAGATGAAACACTTCCTTGTTAAATTTTTAAAAACACAACACACGAACCTGAAACATGGGGGAATGAGCTACCGGCATGAAAACTCCAGTAGTTGTTGTCTGCATTGTTGTCAAAAGTCACTTGTAGATCATCACCAGCCAATATTTGGTAAAAGGTTCCCTCATTAGGCTGAGCAGTGTTTATTGTACCTGTCACAGTTACACTTTCCTGCATAAAGGACCATTTGGTACTCAACAGATAGAGAAAATCTTCCACAAAAAGCTCTCAGCTATGATGGCCCTAACGGTCCATTTCTCGTTCAAACGTAGTTATCAAGTGAGACTCACCGCAATCTGCTCGTCAGTGTTAAACACCAGCTGCTCAGAGTCGCTCTTCTTTTCACTCATGGTAACAGAATTCGTGGAGATGTAGAGTGGCAGCTAGGCTTATCATTGGGCATTCTGTATTCGCGTCGGTAGGATATCATACCACGGAAAAGGCGTCGTCGCTCGTCGGGTATTGCCCCGGATTTGGACACCGGAAGCACCGCTGATCGGCGCATCTACGTGCGCGCAAGTCTGCAGCGTCAGCAATGACACTTCACGCTGTTCTGCTGCTAGGCCTTCCCACATCTGAGCGCTACATTCTATACCTGTGCGGAACTCGCTTCTAGATACCGATCATATCTACTGGAGACTGGAGAACGTGTATTGTAGCCTGTTTCCAGATTGCGAAATTCGCAATTATGCAAGTTGGTAGACTGTAGCTACCTAGCTAGCTAGAGCCAGCTATGTATGTAGTGCTTGCAATTTCTATTTTTCTCTAAAACTCATTGACCTCCTTCTTCTCTGAACATCACAAGTTTATTGTGCCTCGTTGTCTTTGCTTCTGTAGAAACCTCTACACGTATGAAAAATCACGAGGACCACTCAAAGAAGGTAGAAAGATATTATGCACAAATAAAAACACATAATCGAAACTGAAAAAACAAAATGTATATCGTCAGCTTGAAAATAATCTTCAGAAGCTTATAATATACTGAATAGCTTATATAAAAATACTCCATCCTCTGGCTGATAATCAGCATAAAAATGAATAGCAAGAAGCACCGATACAGACAGTCTACATGCCCGGTCATGAGAACTGGGATTTAAGATCATTTACAACCACGTATAATGTAGTTAATTACATGTAGCAAAATTCAAGTCCAGTTTACTATTATATATGTACAGTTAGCAATCCTTGAATACTGCTGACCATAAGTTATTCAGATTATCTTCAAAAGCATTGATTTTTCGTTTAAGGGACTACTTTCTGTGCTGAATGAGAAGAAAAGCCTGAGGAGTTTGAAACAACTTGCTCGTACACCTCTTGATAGTCGAAGAATGTAGAAAAATAGGAGCTATAGAATTACGACAGGTGCTAAAATTAGAGCATAATTATATAGATCGAAAATTCGAACCGAAGACACGATTCTCTGTCTGTTTTTCTTCGACGAAGAATCTATCTCCTTCGAAGCCAACTGGACGGACTGTATATAAGAGGATGGAGAAAAATTCGCACAGTATAATAAGAAGCGCGAAATATTAACGCATGCGCACTAAGACGACGACGGTGCGCCGTATAGATAGAAAATTCGAGCCGAAGACACGACTATGTGGGCTCGCTCCGCTCGCCCAATCAGTGTCCTATATTTTCATGAGCCAATCTCTGTCGGACTGCACTGTCGCCGCGCAGCGCAGGAACCGTTATATACCCACGATCGCACTGAACATGGAGTGCTACAATAATAAGAGTGTTGTGTCCATACACATCACACAGTGAACAATATAATACAACCTTACAAATGTGTGATGAGCTGTTCAAAATGGGGTTATCAGAGCGTCAGTAGACGCTTAATAATAGGGATGGCGGGGTGAAATCTCACGTAATCAGCGTACAAAACGCCTCAAAACTCGGCGAGAATGACTCACCATGGCTTGAAAATGACTAGCAATAGTCTACAGGCAAATATCTAGCTATAACGAAAAGCCAAAAGCCCTGAAGTGCAAACCCTCGGCGAACTGCGCTTGCGCGATACCGCTAACTGATGGCCTGGGCCGTTTACTCGTGGTCTCCCGCCAGTAGCACGCGGAGAATCTGACACGGGCTAACTACAGTAGTAGATAGCATGCGGAAGTCGATACACGCCCTTCGTTGTGACGTCTTGTGCCTCCAAGGTAAGCAGAGCAAGTACATCTTGTGGAGGTAAGCCCGTACAATTGGCGTGCTCACTTGGTTTTCACGCCATAACTTTTGAACGCAGCACTTTTACGAGCACCGAACCGATCTTGTTGCGCCTAGTGGCAGAAAACGTGAACGGACACACAGACACACCGACCAAGTACTGTCACCCTCTAACGCATAAACCCCAAGACTTCCTACGTGCCCTCAGTTCCCAAAGGGAGAAATCGCTCTTACGTGATTTCACGATTTTCGTGTCATCATAATTATACATCTTCTTCTTCAGACCCGCTATCCAGTTGAAGCGTTGATTTTTTCACGGAACTTCTCCTATTTTGCCGAAGGTGTGCGGGGACATCAAGCGATCGTTTGTTTTTTGCCGTAAGTCACTACGGTAGATCGTTGAGCTCTTCCTCACTGAACAACGCCATTTGCTGCTGCATGCGCCGAGGAGGGCGTTTCCAAAGCGGTGCGCGCGCATTATAGTCTCTCTCGTAAACCAGAGGTTCACGAGACTAAGCCAGGGTGGCTGCAGAGGAATTCTCATCCTCCAGTGCTAAGTTAGTAACTGGCTAGCTTGCTTTTTGCTGCTGATTTGCACGTGGGAGTCTGCGCCGGGTTACGCGAGCCTTACCGGGCGTACAAATATTCTTTGTCCCGCAGGTTATAGGTATCATTGTAGTCTGATTACTGAAGCTTGCCCATGAAACCATCACCGTGTGCCACAACCTAATTGCGTTCTTGTTGGAGACACTACGCGTACATCCTACCAACCTGCAGATAGCTAAACCTTTGCTTGAGAAATGTGTCAAATTTGCTCTGTGGTTATCAAGGAAAAAGCTAGATGGTTGGTAGGTATGCCTGCTTCATGTGCAGCAGCCTATTAGCTACTGCTTTCATCGGTTATCTCTACAACATACCCATGAACATCAGAGTGACTGAAAATGCAGTGTGGTCATCAGCAGTTATAAAATTAATAGTGAAAACAAGTGGGAAAATCGAAAATCGTTTTTTTTCAAAATGAAGGGGGATATAGGGATGGCTTAATTGAAGCACCAAAAAGGAAGAAAGAAAGGATCATTACACAGCAAAGATGCACAAAGCTACACCATCCTTATTGTTCATAGGCAACGTTTAATATGAGACAAAGATATAGGGATGGTGTCATGTATATAGCTTTGTGCATGTTTGCTGTGTACTGACCCTGGTTTCTTCCTTTTTGGTGCTTCAAGTCATCCCTATACCCCCTTTCATTTTATTTTTCCACTTGTAGGAATGACATGCAGCACAAAAAGCAACAGATTTGATAGCTGCATAGCAAGTACATAAAACTACACGACACTTTAACCCTTTGTCTCATGAATGAACCATAGATTATGGGATGGTGTCATGTAGTCTAGCTATCTTGGCATAAAAGTAGACTTAGAACCTCTCATGAATAATTCCCTTTGATGTTGAATGTAGTAATCAAAGTGTCTAAAACCCGTAGTACTGGGTTGGCCAGGTATATAAGTACTAAGTCTCTAAGTTGCAAGTTAGGTCCCACCTGCAGACAAAGTTCACACCCCTTATATCTTACTCTTAATAAAGTAAAAGTAAACCCTTGGCAGAGATGCACACGCTCGCTATATATAGGGAAGGGTTCCATGTAAGCAAAGTTGAGGAAGACCGACCTATGTACACAGTCTTCTGTGAAAGGCTGCAGACGACATAAGCATGCCACCAAGTGCATTTGTCATGTTTTTTTAGCTCAACAATAGGCTTGGTAAACCTTCTCTGCACAATTGTAGCCTATGTGAGAACGGGATATGTATATACGGATATTTTACTGAATATTTCGCGCATGCGCGAACAGAGTGTAAACGCGCGCGTGGGAGTATTATACGGGCATGTGTCACACCGCTAATTGATGGGCTGGGCCGCTATTTTACCGAGTCGTGGTCTCCCACCAGGTGGATAGCTGAGAGTCGGCAACGGGCTAGCTACACGCCCCGCATTGCAACCTCTGGTGCCTCAAATGTACGCAGAGCAAGCGTACTTACATGCGCTTGCTCTGCGTACAGACACACGGCAATTAACCCGTAACCCTCGTTGCGCATGCGCGCCGAGTTATGTTCCTTGCACCCCCAACCTGCATAGATATGATAGTACTTATCCCTAACACATCGCCAGCCCTTGGTATGATATGTAACTGCCTGGGCTTTCCTGCGTACTACATATCCTCAACCAACCCATCCCCAACCCTGAATATCATTGGTAATTACCTCTAATTAGCAATGGTTTCCTGCCTACCAACCCATCCCCAGTCACGGATAACTATCTCTCTGCTTACCAACCTCATATCTAGCCCTAGATATAAAATTAATCTATTGGTGTTTGGGGGTGTAATGTATCTGCCTGCAAATTTCTGATTGAAATATTCTAGCTTGATGTCTTCAGAGATGGTTGTTCACGCTGAGAATTTCACAAGCTCTGTCGTGGACGTATTGATCTTGATGGCATGGACCTTGGCAAATTCTCACTATTTCGTTTTTGTTTTGAACACCTCCAAGGCTAGGCTGAGGCAACAGATGAATGGGCAGCTGAGCAGATAGTGGGACCGTTTACTAGTGAGGCCACTAAAAGGAGGTATTTTCATGCAGTTGCTACAGGAGTGTGTCGATCCATGACCACGAGAAAGAGCACTAGGGACAAGACAGATCCTTGTCGAACACCTCCACTGGTAGCTACCAAAAGGCAAAGAGAGCTGACCGTGACACTTCACTACACACTTGGATTACGTGTGTCTACCAGCTCTTTAACCACTATATGCTCCATGCATATAAATAAAAACAACAACATAGTATCAAAAAGGAGGACCTCATCATTAAAAATTAAACAAAACAGTGGTGGTATCATAGAATAATAAAAAGTGTGGGGCAGCATCATTAGAGAGTTAAGATAGCTAGCATAAACCAACGCATAATGGGTGCCCTGCCTTTGATAACCAGGTACTGGTTCCTTCTCCGCAACGGTAATAAGCACTCCGCAAAATTGCTAAGAGGTTGACTCTCTGTGTCTACGCTTCAATGACCCAGAGGAAGCTTTCCCTCAAATTTCTACAAACCTGGCATTAACAGAAGGAGCTGGAGCATACAGTATACTTAATATGTTGTTTTATATAGTAAGTCAGGCAATGTATTGCTAACAACATTTGCAACATTTTGTCTTGGCTTTATCAAGATCCACCAGCTTCATCTCATTCGGAGGAACCATCAAAAAAGGATATTGCAAATTCCTGCTCCACCCAATCCTCTTTTGCGGACTGTTTACTGGTAGTAGGTATTGTGTTTCATCATTTTGGGTGGTGAAGCCCAGTCCAAAGGTGTTGAGATCAGTCGGACTGTCGTGTATTGTGAACTCAGTGTGAAGAATGATGTCTTCATTTCCAACCTGGGAGGCAGATGGGAAAACAATGGTGGCTAATTGAACACTAAGGATACTATTCATACCCCATCCTCAGCTGAAAACTTGGGGTATTGGTCAGGGATTCCACCTTGGTTCTCAATGATTGTGAGGTACCACCTCACATTGCCCGGTGGAGGGTAGCCAACTATCTTCACCTTATTGTCCCCCGACGGCCTCGATGTGAAAGAGCTCTGTGGAATTGATTTTTTTACAGTAATATGAAGAGAAGTAGAGTGAGGGAAGAATAATCAGCACAATGCACCTTTGAGTGAAAAATAAAGCGTTATATCATTGTATGAAGGCACACACTAGACTATCAGACCTGTATTCTCTGAACTGTAGCTAATTATGAAAGCCCACCCACAGAGGAAAATGTGGTTTTGGAATGTTAGTTAATATAGGCTCATATCAAAATCACGTGCTTTTTAACCCTTTGGACGCCATGGGTATCTCCTTAAATAAGCAGAAATTGATATATAACATATTAACACCTAGTATTATACCCATAATTCTTTTGGACTTATGGAGGCCCTGGGCATATATATGCATGCCCGTGGCTGGCTAAGGGTTAAGTGTGCATTGAAGCAGCCAGCATTTCCATGCCAATGTAGCCTAAAAAAATCTTCTAAGAGAACCTCCTTCAGTTCTTCAAAGCCTTTGCACCTCTCAAGTCTTCCATGCACTTAATTTCCAAGGAGCACTGTCTTGAGAGAGCTAGTCTCTATCCCTGGAAACCTCTCAGAACCATAGCACATGCAAATAGGATATTGGTTATAACCTTTCGGAAGGGATTTTTAGCATGATACAATTTGGATATGCCAGTAACACGAAACTCCAACGCGAGTTTGATGAAGCAATATTGAAAATGGCCCTGATGGCCTTACTATTGTTATGTTGTAGTAAGCACTAAGTTGCTACCGACCTAAGTAGCCACATCTACTAAGAGTATATACAAAGCTCCTTATACAGTAATGAGCTAACAAAACCTTTCCACTCTACTGAGTTGCACACTGTCTTGCCAGCTTCCGAGGCTCATGTCACTAAATTGATAACAAACCCTCAGATTAACCTTGCAAGTGTGGGGGAAGTGGAGCTTTATTCGAGTAGCATTCCCCTTTATTTCAAGTGTGGTTTGAAAACATCGATAGTCTAAGTTAATACTGCACATCAAGTGCCTTGGTCTTAACATAAAGCTACTGTGCATAGATTTTAAGGGAATGTGTCTGTGCATTAGAGGTAAGATAAAAAGCCCCAGTGCAAGAAGGCAGTGAGATTTTTGTTTTTAGTAACATTGTCTAAGTTTAGCCCTTATACTGCCTTATACCATGGTCGCGCATAATTATTATTCAAAGGCTCCGCCTACGGTTTATTCAGCGCGCTCCGCGATATTATCCTGTTAAATAACATGGATGTCCTGTGAAATATTATGCAGGAAGTGATATCCGAAGCACGTTGAGTAGTCCTAGAACACTTCTCTATACGACTTTTCTCCTTGATTACGGCCTTGTGCTGAGCTGCCCAGAGTACAAAAGGTTAGCTTCGTTCTTCCCAACAAGAAGTGGCGAATTTAGCATGAAGGTATTAGACCATGTCATGTCAAGAGCAATGCGGAGCTCTGGACATGTTGGTCCTCATCAGCAGAACTTCTCTCTCTGGCGTCACGAGTTAATGTAATGACCTATTCGTGCAACCGAGCGCCCCAACCCTCATTCACTAATGGGATTGGATTGGAGGTATCGTGCAAGGGTCAATGTTGTGGGGCAATTTTGTTAATTGCCTAAATTACAGGAGCCCTAATCTTTTCCGCTTATTTCTCTGCTGGAGGCTTGCCCCTGTTATATAAGCATATTACCTATGTATCATGCAAAGCTTGCCCCACTGCTAATTGGCCTAGTGGCATGTTTGTGGCCATTCCTTGCACCACACCCCCTTTTCTGTGGGTGGAGCATGGGGCATCCAGCCAGCATGGCTGACCCTCTGCCATTACGATTGACCCTTGCACGAAGGCCACATCCGAAGATGGGCAAAGAGGAATGAGTGAAATAGGAGGGATGCACATAGGTGACAAATAGAATGAAATGAGGGAAAGAGGGGGGAGGGAGGGAGAAAAATGAAATGCTGCCAACACAAGCTGCGGATGATGCTGCTCTGCACCAGCTGAGTCTCCGCCAGAGACTGCCTGCCTGTGTCTTAGCGCTAAACCTGCCGGTCTGTGCAGTTGCATATCTGCCGCTGCACATGCTCTCCGGCCTGGCATCCCTTTAAGGGGCGTGACCTTGCTCTGCTCTGCGCATGTCAGTTGCTTGCCCAGTACTCCTGATTCCATACTGGTAAGCCTTTGCCTGCACCTGCTCATAGCTATGTCATACAACTCTGTCTAATTGTCATTAAACATTATTTTATAAAGGATAGCTACCAGGAGCGCAGTACTTGTGGTTCTGAACTAATGAGATTCATCCCCACAAGGCTTTGCCACTGGTATGTGCTGACCATCCCATACATTGGTGGTTTGGAGCCTAGGCCCCTCCCCACTCCTGCTGGTCAAGGCGCCAAAACTCGAACTCGCAATCCTGGCATGTACGAATCATCAGCGGTAGATTAAATGGTGAAATCACTCGTTTCCAGGCGTACTTTCTGCCTACAATGTTTCCCGAGCGCGTTCTTGGCACAGTGCGTTTACTGAATACTAAGGTCGAATGACCGCGGTAGTCTCCAGCGAGTGGAGCGGTTTATCTGCGTACTTTTCGCTAAGGACGCCTGCAAAGGGTGCAATCGTAGAAGAGAACCGTTCGGTCGATCGACCTGGCAGCTCCACAGCCGTGCCCAAATATGGTCCGAAAATGAAGGAATGTGTTGATAATCTCGAGGGCGCACACCCTAGTTGTATGTATAACTACTACATACTCTCGAAGTTGTACTACACTGTCAACAATGCACAGAGTTAGCTATCTGTGCCATAACACACAGAGTATCCTGTTTTCCTATCTGCATTACATTTGCAAACTTTTAGCCTATACATAGCCTGCTGAGATGCCCTAGTAGCTAGCTCAGTGGTAGAGTATTCTGTTTGGAGAACAGAGCATCATGGGTTTGACTCCGGGTAGGGTCAGCTATTTTTTCAAAAGTGTTGTCCTATAGGTGTTGTTGAATTGCAATGATTCATGCATTATAGGGAAAATCAAACATTTTCACGAACCCGAAATATGGGGAAAATTGGCCACCGGCATGAAAACTCCAGTAGTTGTTGTCTCCATTGTTGTCAAAAGTCACTTGTAGATCATCACCACCAGCCAAAATCAGGTAGTACTCCTCAGTCAGCTGAGTAATGTTTATTGCTCCCGTTACAGTTACACTTTCCTGCAGAAAAGACCATGGGATATTAAGCAGCTCTGATACGCTTCCATCGCCTATCAACAATTGCCCCTTCTTTCGCAGGAAGATAGTTAGAAAGTGAGGCCCACCGCAATCTGCTCGTCGGTTTTACTCCGACACCAAGTGCTCGGAGTCGCTTTCCATGTCACCTGCTGAATGTAGGCGTTCGTAGCTCCCGTATTCGCAAGGGGTGCGGTACAAACAGACTCTAAAAGGGCGTTAGCTAGCTATAAATAATCTCTACGGAAATTATCAACAGGGTCGGCCCCTTTTTTCCGGTCCAACGGACATTCACGCGCACGATCTGTGTTTGCGCTTTGGCGACCGAGAGCGAGCAGTTCAATATTTCGCGCGTTTTTTTTGCGGTATGTACAGCGCCCTACAGAAATTTCCGCATTTGAGACAACTATATAGCTAGCTACACTATTATTGTGGCTACTCTTATACTTAACACACTCTACTGATCCCTTGAACATGCAAGAACCCAACCGAACTAATGTGCAGTATAGCTACATATTGCATGCCTGGAGTTTTAAGTCCCAGTATTTTGGAAAACCCTAAACCTACAATGTCACTATTGCTGCAAAATATATATATCATGTCAGCTGACATCATGTGACTGCTATAAGGTTCATCAGCAGAGATTGGGGAGCATGTAGATATTCTATTATTATCAGCTTTCCAGTATATACATGAAGAAAAGGAAAAAACAACAAATGACAGGCATACAGACTTTGTAACATGTACTGACGGAACACCAACAAAGTGTTGATGGCCTAGATGGTAGAGTATAGTAATTAGTTTTTTTATTTTTATTTTTTATTTCGATGAATCATACACAAATAGCAATAGGCTAGTACATGGTGCATGAATGTATACGAGAATTACATAATCAACCACTCTCTCAAAGAAGACTTGAAGGAAGAAATGCAGTCAGACGATCTTATTGAAAGAGGGAGTGAGTTCCAGACTGAGCATGTCTTTGGTACAAATGAGTTAAGGTACGAGTTAGTCCGACAAAAAGGCTGACAATATAAGTGGTTTGACGAGTGTAAAGGAGTGGTTCTAAGGATAAAGATATCTTGAGGGAAGTGTAACAGCTGGTTGACAATGTTGAACATTGTGCAGAGGTACACATACACACAGCACATGGGCAACTATAGTGAAATGATGGTGTAGTCAACGATGCGACGAAATTTGGGAGAAAATTTGAGTACTTTGCACCGAACTGGAGGTTCCACTTATGGCTCCATTGAGGCAAAGGAGGTCACCTATGTGTGTGCATTGCTTGCAGCATGACTTAAGAATATAACTCAAGAATCAATTCCTGGGCAGAAACAGTAGCTACGTACAGCTACACAACTCTGACAGGTCTCCGATGGTTTGCACTTTAGTGCTTTTTCTGTTTTTTTCTTACCCTGAAAGTAGTAGCAAACTTTCATGTCGTACTGAAAGTAAACGCTCATGTTATGACACACAACTTTTTTACAGAGAATTGTAGGTAAACCTTCTTTAAAAACCTCTGTGTAAAAAGGGAATAGTTTACAGGTTAAAAAGTAAACAGAGCATCTTGCAGGAATGTAGGTTTTAGGAAAGAATATAGGTAGCCCATAATAAAAATAGCTCTGAAAATGAAGGCTAAAATTTACAACAGTTATGTCTTATCAGTCTAGGTAAATGTGTTCTCCTGCCTTCTTTCCTAAGCTGCTCCCATCTCTGCTGGTTGTCAGTCAGAGCAGTGTACGCTGCACTGGCACTGGACAACAGCTGCCCCAGAACCCTGGAAATACACACAGTCAAATAGGTTTAGGTGCACCATCTGTTTTCTTACACTACTGTTAAGTACGAATTTCTATAAAACTAGGACTCAATGAATAAAACAAGGATGCATACGGCATACATACTACGTAGGTCTTCAGCTTTTCACATTATTCCTTATCATATCAGCCACTCGCATGCAACTAGCAATGGTGCAGCAGCTAGGGAATTTTGAATAAACGAATTTCAAAGCATTGAGAGAGGTAGTGTGTTTGGATAGGTTTAGAGTGCTACTGACTTGAAGACAGGGCCAGCAATGCGTCGGTAGTTGGGTCTGTCTGTCTGTGTGTCTGTTACTCTCAATCTCACTTCTTGGGTGTTTGTTCGTCTCACGGAGGACACGATCTACTTAACGGGCAATGAAGGTCAGAAATAATGTGTGGTTTTCACTGAAAATGCTCCGTTGCAAAGTTAGAGCGCATCCAGCATTGTATGGCTAATGCCGGTAGATGTTTATCGCTGCGGAAAATGCGCATGCGCTTATATTATTTAGCACAGGCTTATATTATACCTAAACCGGGTCCGCTTGCTCTGTGTATCTTGAAGGCACAATAAGTCACAATGAATGGCGTGTATCGACTCTCGCATGCTATCTATTACTGTAACTAGCCCGTGTCAGACTCTCTGCGAGCTACTAGAGGGGGAGACGGCGAGTAAACGCACTAACAGCCCAGCCCATCAATTAGCGGTACCGCGCATGTGCAGTTCGCCGAGGGTTTGCACTTTAGCGCTTCAAGCCATCCCTATATCCCCATTTCATTTTGAAGAAATACTTGTTTCCACCATTTTTTAACAGCTCTGCATTTATTGTCTGATGTTCGTGGGTAGCTATGTTGTAGATATGACAAATTGTAACTGTTGAAGTAGAAGCTACATGGGCTGCTGCTAGTGCCTGAGCAGGGCTAGATCTAGAGCAGATACCGCATTCGCCTCATGTTTTGTCTTCAACAAGGATGTAATGGATTATTGCACATGGTGTGTGGTTTCATGGGAAGCTTTGGGTAATCAGGCTACAACCTGTGTGGGACAAACAATGAGCCATTTGCCCGCAAGGTCGCGGTCGTACCCAGGCGCAGACTCTGGCAAGTTGCTCTTCGTGTCCAGCATATCGAAGCAGCAAGCTAGCCAGTTGTAAATGTGCACCACTTACTTACAGAAGGACTGGCCGCTGAGTAGTTCTCTGCAGGTCTGCAACTCGTGCAAACTCGCATGGTCATCGCTCGCAGCGCATTGGACACGCTCTGCCTGCGCATGCGCGCGGCTCACGTGTGCTGAGTGTCGACCATGGACATTAAGAGGATCTACCGTAGTGACTTGCGCCAAGAAAGAAACCATCGCTTGATGTCCGTGCACACCTCCGGCGAAATTGGAGACCTTCAGTGAAAAACATCAGTGCTTGAACTGGTATAGCTATAGCTACTGGAAAGGAGATAGCGGGTTTAGCTAACTACTAATCACCTCCATCGCCTTCGGAAATTTCCCCCTCCTCTTGACGTGAGTCAATCACTAAAAACTATTAAAAGTAAACTCTCTAACATTTTTTGCAACCATTTCACTACGAATTTGATCCCGACAATGTGTGCTCTGAGTGCTCTCTCTGTCCTTGTGCTAAATGCAGCTCACTCCCAGTGTCCTCCAATTTTCACTCTTCTCTCTTCTATACTGTGTTTTTAGGCTGCAGGTTTATATCACCATCAGACCTTCAGCACCGTTCCGCATTTAATTTGCCCTGTCTGCTACTGTCACCTCACTAGTGCTGTAAAGTCATAATAATAATAATAATAATAATAATTCACCTACGGCACATGGTTGGCAGCGCCCTGCCATAACTCAAAAATTGTCCCTGTTTATAACTACG